CTTTTATACTGATAACGAGTTCAAACAGATGCCATTAATACAGGTAACGAGTGGAGGACAGAGGAGCCTCTTAAAGAAGAAGTTACAGGTCTGTGAGAGCCAGAAATCTTGCTTGTTTGTAGGTGACCAAATACTTATTTTACAGAGGAATTTACCAATTGATTCTTTAAAAATCCTACAATGTGATTTTCTGGATTTTTTTTTCTCATTTTGTCTCTCATAGTTGAGGTATACCTATGATGAAAATTACAGGCCTCTCTCATCTTTTTAAGTGGGAGAACTTGCACAATTGGTGGCTGACTAAATACTTTTTTGCCCCACTGTATTTGCAACAACTGGTGGAGTGCTGAATGCTGCACGCACGCGCAGCGTTGTCAAGGTAACATTTGGTCAGTCATTCCCTTCACCGAGGGAGTTCCAAACGCTTACACGAGACAGTAGTTCCCTACACTCTTAACAGAACACTCTTCAAGGGCTCTGCCCTTCGAAGGGAGTAGGGCATAGGGATGCTCACTTCCGTTTGGAATTCGCCCATAATGTATTTTACAAAAATCTCAGCTTCAGCATTCTTGAGATTGAGAAATGCAAAAGTTAAAAAAGTTAAATCAGAATTAAGTAAAATGGACTCATTATATTAACTGAGAAGATAAATGTTAAATAAAATACAAAAATAATAGGAATAATTATCTAAAAGTAATTTAAAAAGTATCATACATAACGTATACTGACAATGTATTAATTAAATAAGAGGATTTAGTTTACATTAATACTCAAAATACAAATTCTCCAATATTATACTTCGGTATAGTAAAAATAACTACAATTCCCTCACTTCCCACCGCTGAGCAGATGTGTGTGTGTGTGTGTGGATCAAAGAGCATGTCCTCTGCGCGTCTCACGTGAAGAATCTGATTAGCTCTATTCAACAGAAATCTTCAGCTAAACAGCCCAAAGCTGATGATGTGATAAAATGAGAGATGGGAAACATGGAGGTCAGATAAAAAAAAGGCAATTATTTCAGGGAAAAGTCAAGGACCAACAGACTGTGTGTGTGTGAGAGTGTGTGTGTGTGTGAGTGTGAGTGTGTGAGTGTGTGTGTGTGTGTGAGTGTGAGTGCGCGTGTGAGCGAGTGTGAGTGCGCGTGTGAGTGCGCGTGTGAGCGAGTGTGAGTGCGCGTGTGAGTGCGCGTGTGAGCGAGTGTGTGAGCGAGTGTGAGTGAGTGTGTGAGCGAGTGTGAGGGCGCGTGTGAGCGAGTGTGAGTGCGCGTGTGAGCGAGTGTGAGCGCACGTGAGCGCGCGTGCGAGCGTGAGTGTGAGTGTGTGTGTGTGTGTGAGCGCGAGTGCGTGTGTGTGTGCGAGTGTGTGTGTGTGTGCGAGTGTGTGTGTGTGTGCGAGTGTGTGTGTGTGTGTGTGTGAGTGTGAGTGCGCGTGTGAGCGAGTGTGAGTGCGCGTGTGAGTGCGCGTGTGAGCGAGTGTGAGGGCGCGTGTGAGCGAGTGTGTGAGCGAGTGTGAGGGCGCGTGTGAGCGAGTGTGAGTGCGCGTGTGAGCGAGTGTGAGCGCGCGTGAGCGCGCGTGAGCGCGCGTGAGTGTGAGTGAGTGTGAGCGCGAGTGCGTGTGTGTGTGCGAGTGTGTGTGTGAGTGAGTGTGAGTGTGTGAGTGAATGTGAGTGAGCGCGAGTGCGTGTGTGAGCGAGTGCGAGTGTGAGTGAGTGTGTGAGCGCAAGTGCGTGTGTGTGTGTGCAAGTGTGTGTGTGTGTGTGTGCGAGTGTGTGCGAGTGTGTGTGTGTGAGTGAGTGAGTGTGTGTGAGTGAGTGTGAGTGAGCGCGAGTGCGTGTGTGAGCGAGTGCGTGTGAGTGCGTGCGTGAGCGAGTGTGTGGGAGTGTGCGTGCGTTACCTCACTACTTTGGAGTCTTTGCAGATGATGTGCAGCTGAAACATATCTCTGCTCTCAACGCCCTCAATCAGTCTCAGAGGAACCTGCACACACACAATCAGCCAATCAGAGAGCAGAAGACCTCATCACATGACTGCACCAACCAATAATGAGCATCAAACAAAAAAAAACATGCAACAATGTTACAAAAGTAACTCCTGACCTGCAACAATGTAAGAGTTTTTAACTGCAGGATAAAACATGTAACGCTGAGAGCTTTTACAGATGCCACTGAAAGCTGATTCAAACTGAAGATATTAATGCCTTTAACTATTGAGAATTGATGTCAGTATATTAAAGTTATTTTAACACGGTCTGCCCTGTTAAATATGTAATATATATCAATATATTATACATAATATAATATAAAACATTGTGTAATTGAATATAATTTTTCAAGTCTTAAGTGATTTTACCAGTCTGTCCTGTTAATTATATAATATATATCAAAATATACAATGAATATAATATAAAATAAAACAATATAATATATAATTAAACAATTTTTCATACACAATTTTTTAATACTTTTAATAATTTAAATTTACACTGTGTGCACTGTTAATTATATCATATATCAATATATTCTACATAATATAATATAAAACGGTGTAAATTAATTTAATAATTTAATAAATAATATAATTTAATTATATATATATATATATATATACACACACTATATAAGATAATGACAAACTATAATATAAAATAAAACTATATCATATATAATAACATAATAAATATTTTTATATATCTTGATATAAAAGGCATTAACAGGCTCAATAGTTAAAGTCTCAAGTTATTTTAATGTTGCCTGTCCTGTTAATTATATAATGTATATCAATATGTACTATATAATATAATATATGATATACTATACAGCTTGAATCCTAATGTCACCAGACTGCATTCATGTGAGAAACAGAGAAAAACATCAAAACAACAGTAAGGGGGCAAATTAAAGACATGAAAAGGAGGGATGAAGAGGTCAGAGGTGAGGGTGCAGATTACTCACAGAAATCTCACTGTCCACACCAGGATACATCTACAACACCGACACAGGGATGAGGAAGAGGAAGAGGAAGAGGAAGAGGAAGAGGAAAAAAAGAGGGAGATGAAAACATGACTCAGCGAAACGAGCAAACAAAGAGGAGGACATAAATGGAAGGGTATGAAAAACGCACAAAGAGAGAGAGAGAGAGAGAGAGAGAGAGAGATCTTTGCTGAAGTTGAGCGAAAAGATCCAGGGTTGTTAAAAAAGAGCTTAAATCTCAGGGTCACATGATGCTGTAATTCAGCTGGGTTAACCGGGTGCAGAGTAGCAAGGGATTCTGTGTAGCCTCATTAAAGGGGTGGTTGATTGCGATTTCACTTTTGTAATGTTAGCTAGTGTGTAATGTTGCTGTTTGAGCATAAACAATATTTGCAAAGTTACAAAGCTGAAAGTTCAATGCAAATAGAGATATCGTCTTTTAAAATTCTGGCAGTTTAATGCCTACAAAAACGACTGGTAAGGGACTACAACGAGTTACTTCCCGGGTCCGTTACATCAAGAACCCAGAATTTTACATAAACCCCGCCTCCGGGAACACTCAGCAAAGGGGCGGGGCCATGCTGCGCTGCTTTAGAGAAGAGGAAGAGAAAACTAGAGGTGCACGTAAAAATCTGTTCATACTGTATATGAATCACGATTCTGTCTTCTAATGATTCTAATGGATTCACAAGTTTCAAAATCAATGTTTTAAAGCAGTGTTCTCATCCTGTTCCTGGCCTCGCTCTGCCTAGACGCACGCTAGAGGCGGTTTAGCCAATCACAACACACTGGGCCAGCTAACCAATCAGAGCCCATCGTGTATTTCTGAGGGAGGGGCTTCATAAAAGCAGGAAATGATCAGCACGTTCAGAGGAGAAGGGACAGAACGGTGTGGAATAAAGGTAAAATAATGTGAAAAATCATGCGTTTTTTAACAAACGAAGCATTAACACATGTTAGACTGCACCCCATAAACACAATCAAGCCTAGAAAAAACCAGTCAACCACCCCTTTAAGATTCCAGTCTCATGCCTGAAGGAACGTTATGTTAGCATAATGCAGATTATGAGAGAAAATCATTTCAGTTTGTAAAAACAAGAAAAAAACGGAGGTCTGTGTGATCAGAATAAAGCTCATTTACTTTAAAAGAACAAATACTGTCATAGAGTGGCATGCGTTAAAACTAGTGTTATTTTAGTACCATTTATACACTAGTGTAGTATTTATGAATATTTAAATTAGCTTTTAAGATTTTCTGTTTTAATTTTATTTTGTCAAACAGCGACATGCACTGAACATCAATGTTATTTTGTTATTTATAAACTATTATAGTATTTATGAATATTTTAAATTAGCTTTTATTTTTATATTTTCTCTTTTCATTTTATTTTGCCAAACAGCGACATGCACTGAACATCAGTGTTATTTTATTATTATTATTTATAAATTATTACAGTATTTATTCTTTTAAATTAGGATTTATTTTCATATTTTCAGTCTTAATTTTGTCAAAGCGACAAGCACTGAACAGTAATGCTACTATTTTATTATTTCTGCACTATTATAGTATTTATTCGTATTTTAAATGAGGGTTTATTTTATATTTTCCATTAAAATTTTTATTTTGTCAGAGCGACAGGCATTGAACATCAGTGTTATTTTATTATTATTTATACACTATTATAGTATTTATAAATATTTAGAATTCGCTTTTATTTGTATATTTTCATTTTAGTTTTAGTCATTTTGTTGTTTGTCGTTGTTATTAATTTTTAATATTCCTGTTTAGCTTTGTTTTCAGTTTTAGTATAACAAACTTATTTCAGTTCATTTCTAGTTTTTTTTCTAGTCATCTAATGTTTATATTTTATTTCTTTAAATACAATATTATTGTGATTCATATTTTTATTATTATTTATTAAATGTTATAAATAAATGTTTATATTTAATTTATTTCATTTCCGCTTTATTTCAATTAACAAAAATATTTTTTTTTACTTCTTTTAGTTTTTGTTTTACAATAACAACACTGTCACACACATAAGATCCCTTTAAACATGTCAGACTGTTGAGATGTCGAAAATGAACAGCAGGTCAAAGTTCCACCCTTAAGAACTCTAATAATGCCTCTCCTTTAAGATCAGCACTCCAGACATGAAGAGCGCCGACACAGAAATAGTAGAGAGCGCAGACGGGGTCACGCCAGCGTTAAAACACACACGCATGTACGAGATAAGAGGCTTTCCTCTGCACACTGACGGACATCAGTACATCGGACATCAACTATATCAGGAGGATCATCCTATTTTAGCCATAACATATCATCACTCATGTATATACATATATTTATGTATTTATGTATGTATATAAGAAAAAATATATATATTTAAATATGAGGTATATATTTATTTTTAAATAAGATACTATATTTACATATTTAAATATTTATTTAAATACTTTACAATATTGTTATATTTTTATTTAAAATCCTAATATTTTTATTTAATTATTATAAATATAAAAATATTTTATTAATTATATATATATATATAACACACGCATTTATTTACATATTTAAAAATTTTAATATTATATAATATTATAATTAAAGATTATGAGACCTATATGTAATATAGTATGCATGCATGTATACACGATATAAAAAGTTTTAAAAACTATATATCTAAATATGATCTATATATATTTTAAGCAAAATATATACAATTTGAATATTATATACAGTATATAGTATGCATGTATGCACATATATAATGATATAAAATGTTTCAAAAATTATATTTGAAAATGAGCTATATATATTTTAAGCACAGTATTATATATATATATATATATACACACACACACACACACACACGTACATTTAAATATTATATGATTGCATTAATATCTATGATCATGCTATGTTAATTGGAAAAATATGGCTGTTTCAAAACAGTTTTTCCTGAACACGTGTATTTTATATTTAAATTGCACAAACCACACTTGAAAGGATTCTAAACTTCAACTTGGCTAAAGGCACAACAGCAGCAGTTTACATGCTTGACGTCAGGGAGGCTGCGAGTGAAAAGCAAGAGCTCACTCTGTGTTCAGACCTCCAGAGCTGTGAGGACAAGGGCTGCTGAGATCAGAGAAATCAAACCGTGTTCAGAGAACGGCTCTTTTCACTGGGATAAGAGGAGACGAGCCCCTCAGCTGGGACGGCTATCAAAGGAGGTGAAGCAGAGGCTGTACTGTGAACTCTCGCGCTCTCTTTCGTGTGCTGCTGTTTGCTCTTACGTTGATGATGGAGTCTTTGAATTTGATGTGAAGTCTGTAGTTGGAGATGGCGATGATATCGTCGTCCGCACGGCCCAGGAACTCGACCCACTCGCCCTGCAGGACAGGGAACGGGACCTGGAGAGACAGGAAAACATTTACAGGACTGAATGATGATATATTGATAAGCTCTGGACAACAGCCAGTCCAGTCGAGCTCTGCATGCTCTGTGAGTCTCTGTGTGAATGAATGGCACCGGGTTCGGTTTTCGCTCGCGGTGATTTCAGCGTCTGTGTCTCAATATGAGGACATGAACACATGAACTTCATCTCCAGAGCTGCTCTAAGAGGCACTTCATTTGAGAAGAAATACACACTGAAACGAAAAGGTCAAATGAAAGACTTTCAGGACAACCCGTCAAAATAAAAGCCCGGTTGAACGTGAAGAAATTATAAATAATTTATAACAGCGCCCCTTCTAACAACGCCCCTTAGCGGTTATAAATTCACTGTAAGCCACGGCTTCACGGGGCTTATTGCTTTTATAAAACGGTTATTCCATATACGTAGTAAGGTTTCACAGAATAAAACAGAGCAAATAAAGTGTAATGATATTAATACAAACAGTATTCTTCCACCAAACAATGTAGCTCCTCAGAAACAGTTAAATGTAAATGTAAACGAAGGTGTATGTTTGTAGAGTAATTTATAGGGATGTAACGATTCACTCAACTCACGATTCGATTCGATTCACGATTCGATTCAATTCACGATTTTTTTTTTTACAAAATGAGATTTGAGACAAATTATATATTAAATGTGTCCTTTGATTATTGCTTGGACAATATACCGCACGTTTCTTTGTCAAATATAACACTATAATAATATACTAATATAGCACTTGTATATTATTGCTCTTTTGCTGATTTTGATTGCTTCTATCGTCCTCATTTGTAAGTTGCTTTGGATAAAAGC